GCCTGCCCCAGCGCCCTCTGTGCCTTGGGCAGTGATGGGCTGCATGGGCACTAACCAGAGATGCCATGTCCTGGGGTGTGTGGCTGGGAAGTGGCAGGTCTCTGAGTGACCTTCAAGGGCTTTGTTGTCATCTCCTTGGGCACTGGAAAGCAGAAATTAATACAAAATGGGGGAATTATGCGAGGAAAGCATCATGTCCTTATGGGGGACCTAGCTGAGCAGGAGAAGCACAAGGTGGAACAGGAGGAAGCCCAGGGAAAAATGTCCATAAAATAAAATGCTTCCATGTGATTTTGCAAAGCCCTGCACTAAATCTGAGGTTTGATGCGTCACTGATCTATAAAAGGGAAACAAACCTTGCAGGGGAGGCATTGAGGTCAATCAGGACAAAAGAACTGAGGCTGGTGGCTGGGAGACCCTCTCCTGCTCATCAAGCAGAGGGGATGGGCAGTCTGACAGTTTTCATCAGTGTGGCCACAGGCACAGTCCCTCATGTGGAAGGGAAAACTGAGCCACGTCCCCTCTTTGCAGCACTCTGAATTGAGGGGTGCAAGTGTTGTACATAACACACGTACACCTAGGAACTCTGTGGGAATCACCTGGGACACTAGCTGTTTATCCTGCCTGATTCCAGTGAGGAGGCTCTTCCCCAGTGGATAAGGACAGGGGACAGGACCTCAGGTGACTTCCTTGGCTTGACTAGGTTTTTTCTGGTTGCCTCTATCCCAGGTGCTTGTTAGGAAGGTGCTGCAAGCTTTTCCATGGGACAGAGAGGATGGGTTAATCTGGGAGTGCAGGAGTGAGGTCCCATTTATGAGGCCGAAATGCTCCAGTGGGATAGGGTGGGAGTTAGGAGAACCAGGACCCTGCCAACTCATCCAAGCGTGTTATCGGGATGCAGTCGGATGCCTCCGCTGCTCCTTGCCCAACACAGGACGCTCAGCCAGGCATCAAGTCCTCTTGCTATGGACTCCTGGCATTAAACAGAGCTATTAAGCAGAAGAAAAGGGAACAGTGCCCTGGCTGGGATGTGATGAAGCAGTTGACGGATCATGTTCCTTAGTCCCTGCGTGGAGCCAGTTCTGCTTTTGAAAGAGCAGAAATGCATTTCCTCATTGGGTCTGGCAGGATGGTGGGTACTGCTCCTGGTGGACCAAAGCTTTGGTGCTCACCTTGTCTGGGCTTACTCATCTTTGTTGCAGGGGCTGGGGATTTAATGGGTGGGTGTAATATCCTCGCTGGTGTAACAAACTTTGCAAACGAGCCAAGGAGAATTAATTAGTACAGGGCATGGGTGGGGAGCTGCTAGTTCAAGCTGAGGTCCCTCAGCAGAGGGTCTTCTAGTTCCCAGACAGGAAGGTGGCAGTTGCCCTGTTTTGGGGAGTCTGGATGCCTGGCTTGTGTTTGTTTTTGTGTATGTGTTTGCCAGACCCTAAAGCAGCAGAGCTCTAGTTCCACAGGGAGGAGAGGGAAGGCAGGATCTGGCAGGCTGAGCCAAGGGTTGGGCTGAGTCGTTGTGTCTGTGCCAGAGACCCTGGCTGTCCTCAGCCGGTATCATCCCCCCGTTTGCTTGCTAAATAATTGAGCAGATTTTCTATTAAGCTTCCTTTGGAGTGAGCTAATGGAGCAGTGCTGCCAGAGCTTGTGGGAAGATCCTGGCAAGAGTGAGCAGCAGGGGAAGGGGTGAGGCCCAAAGGTGAGGCTCTTGGTCCCCTGCATGCGAGGGCAGGTTGTAGGTAGGACTGGGCATATGGGTTGAACCAGGCTTTGTGGAAAGTGGATGACCATCCCAGAGAGGAGATGAGCCATGTCGTGCCAGGGCACAGCTGCTGCTCTGCTCCGGGGGCTTCTCCTGTGCCCCATGGACATTGTCCCCTCAGAGGCAGGAGGAGTGAGGCCAGGCAGCACATTCCTCAGCCCTGCCAGTGGCTGATGCTCTTAGGGTGAGTCTGGAGGGTTGGGCCACATGCAAGTGGCAAGTCAACTTATCTGCAGGGCAACTGTACAAGAAAAGACTTACACAGCTTTGAAGGTGCATCTCCCAGGGACTTCTGCCCAAACAACAGAAAATACTGTGAGAAGAGCACTGTAGTCACCAGAAACATGGTGGTACCAGCCAGCAGAGCACAGGATAGGGATCCTGAGCCAGGAGCAACCATGCTGTGCCAGTGGTATGCTGAGCATGAGCCAGCAGGACCTGCCAGAAGGAGTGGAACTGGGCTGATGTGATGTTGGGGTAATTCTGGCTGGATCTCCACACTCTTCTCCTTTGCACAGTACAGATGGGTGGACTAGCAGCAGGGAAGTTCTCAGGGCAGGAGTAACGTGGTGAGCAGGAAGGTGAGGAGGCACAAGGCCAGGTGGGGGAAGCAGGCTAAGCAGACTCTCTTCAACTCCTAGATGGTTTTGGGTTCAACTCCATGGTGACAGTCACTGAATATCCCAATCGGCAGGTCCCTGAACTCAGCCTGGGCACCCACTTGTGTGCTTGGGCACTTGGCTGGTCCCTGCTGGACACGGTAGTTCTCTGCTGTCCCATTGGACATGGTAATTACTGATCACTTAATCACTAATGCTTCTTCAACACATACTGATGAGAGAGCTGTGGTGGAAGGTTCAGGAGTAGACATTTCATGGATCACTCAGTCTAAAGGAATTCATGCTACCTTGCTTTAAAAACTCAGGAAATAAGGGTTACTCGCCCTGCGGAGTCACGGAGCAGGAGCCCAGTTTGGCAGCGAGCCAGGGCTGTGATGGTGCAGATATCTGTGAGAGAGGATGGTGTATTCCTCAGGGATCATCCATTACATTTCCCAACTCCTGTCTGTCAGGGAGGCTGTGCTCCTGGCTATGTTTTTCCTTGCTGAGATGATTTGCCTTTCAGGCTGCTTAATGAACTGCTTTGACAGTTCAAACTGCCTTGCCTTGCTCAGTAGAGCAGCAGTGTGGTGTGGGATCCTTCCTGAGCACCAGGAAAGTGTGAAACTGCAGCAGGATTGTCCTGGGTAGGGACAGCAGGGAGTCCTTAGGGCCAGAACTGACCCAGACCTCAGCTGTGCTATCACATTCCTGGAGGGACAGGAAAATTGCAGCCAGCCTAGAAGAGCTCTCCTGGGCTTCTCCAGGCTGGTGTGTCCCTGGCGAGGCCCTTGGGAGATTTTCTTACCTCAGGTTGGCCTGAGCTCTTCCCCTGAGCTTCAGGTATTAACTTCATCTACAGATGCAGGTTTGCAGGAGCAAGTGGGTGGCTTGGGGTAGCTGCTCTCCCCTCCTTGGATGGGTAGTGAGAGGTTTCTGATGAGAGTTTTGGGCATGGTTGACTTTTTGCTGGGAAAAAAGATGCTGCTTATATCCTGGCTGAAGGAGTAGAAGGATGGGTGCTAGTGCTGTCCTGATGCCACAGGGACCTTCTCCTGCCACTAGTCACAGGGCTGCCAGCAGCTGGCTGGGATGCATGGCCATGAGGGGTTGCATGTTTGGAGTAGAGGTCTGCAAAGGGTCCTGGTCCCTGTTTGCACTGCCCAGGGTGTATTTGAGCTTTGCCCCTGCCAGCAGGTTGGCCCTGGCATTGCCTATGCTGCAGGTGACAGCGTCATGCTCCTGCTATGGAGCGGGGCAGTGCTGGCTAGCAGTGGGGTGGGACACCCTTATCCCTCCTTCCCCAGAGAGAGCTGGGACTCATCCAGAGATAAGGCCAGTCCCACTAGGAGCAGGGCTCCCCAGGGAGCCTCTCCCCCACACTAAAATCCTGCTTGTCCCTGTTGAGGTCTGGATGTGCCCTCTTGTCAGTTGGCACTGCTTCCAGGTTCCCTGGGACCTCTGCCCTCCTGGAAAAAGACACTGGACACTCCGCTGGCACCCAGGCCAGCCCCAGGCCACCAGCTCCATCTTGGCACGTTTAACCCCCTCGCCCAGGCCACCCTAATGCCATTTGATGGGAGCAGAGGCTGCCATCCCAGCGCACATCACCTGGCTCCATGTTCTGGGCCAGTGGGAATTCAGGGCTCCCTCAGACCCCCAGACTCTCACCCCTACAGCCATGGGATGTGGGGCAGCTCTGCGCCGCTTCACTGCAAGGGCAAGGAGACACTCAGCCCAGCGTGAGCTTAAAAAAATAGGCATTTTTATTCCAATGTAACTAGAGAATTACGACCCAAGAGAGGAGACGATTACTCACATGTATCGATAGGCTTATTAGGTTACTGCCTAAATAGCTGTGCTGTAGCAGCGCGTTTGTCCGCCCCAAGGAGAAGCAGCAAAGGAGGTTGGTGCATCTGAGCCCTCATCGTCCTTGGTGGCACGGGCACGCTGAGCAACGCGGGCCGGGCGCCGGCTCCGCTCGTCTGATCCTGCCTCCACTATTTACAGCTTCTCAGGAGGCAAAAGCTTGTAATGTTTGCTTGGCTGTGTGGCTGGTCCCGCGCTGAGCTCCATCCCTCCTGAGTGGCCATGTTTGGGGAGGGGGCATCTACCCCCTTGTGACAGGGTCACGTTTCCCCTGTTCCCGGCCACAGCATGCTGATGGGGACTGGCAGGGGCTGGGATAGGACAGTAGCATCGCCATCTCCAGGGGCTCCCCTGGCATGAGCAAGGACAGTGCCCCACTTGTCACGGCTGTTCCTTGCCCTGGGGTCCACGGAGGTGGCGCTAGGTTATGTACCCATAGAGGTGGCAGACTGCCAGCCCTGGTGTCGCTGTTGGGTGGTGTGGCTGCCCAAATGAAGCAGAGATTGCTCAGACATGCTGGGTTCATCAGTATTACCATTGTGCTAACAAGGACATTGCCAGTGGCTCATGCAAGTTGCTCTTACCAGGCATCAACATGCCCCCAGCCCAAAACCCACCAGGAGCTCATGGCTGAAGCAGTTGTGGGTGATGCTGATCACCCTCATGGGTTGCGGTCAAGCCGGGGATTTGGGGTGCCCAATAATCGTGCTTCTAGCAGTGATGGAGGAGAACAGCTCTTGGGAGACCCTGGCTCTCCCCCCAGCACTGCCCTGCTACGACACAATGGGGGTGTCCGAAAAGACAGAGCTGATGGACTCCGAGTCTGACTTGAGCTGCAGGACCTTGAGGTGCTTGGCATCAGGGAAGTCCTCGCCGAGGGCCAGGCGGATCTTGCCGTTCTGCGTCTCCCCGATGGGCTCAAGGAAAGCCACATGCTTGCTGGCACTGACTTTGCGGTTTGGCCCGTCGGTGGCAGGGGGGGTGGTGCTGAGGCTGGAGAACTGGGCACTGCATTGGGCTGAGGGGAGCTGGCTTCTTGCAGCAGCTCAGGCAGCGGCAGGGTGTGAGGTACAAGTAGATGAGCACGAGCACCAGGCTCACAATGCACCCCAGCAGGGTGGTGAGGCCTGTGCTGAAGGTCTCCTCATCTGGCTTGGGGTAGTTGACTGTCACATTGACTTCACACAGCCTGCTGAAATTGTGGGGGCTGTTGATGGCCAAGCCCACGTAGACCCCCGAGTGCCAGGGCTTGGTCACCTTGATCTTCAGGCTGCCATTGCGGTACAGCTCCAAGGAGCGGTTGCTGTTCCCTGGGTATTTGATGGGCTCATGGTGAGGGGAGATCCACATGTAGGTGGTGGCTGCGGCTGGCAGGCTGGTGTTGCAGGTGAGCAGGAGGGTCTGGCCCACCATCACAGGGAAGGGCACGGGGTGCATATCTTCAGGACCCGCCAAGCAGTTCTCAAACATGTGGCTGTATTTGAGGAACTTGATCAGGGACCCAGGCACGTTGTCAGACACCTTGCAGATGTGTTCCTCAAAGAAATCCTTCACAGAGCTGTAACCTCGCTGCTTCCAGCGCTGGAGCATCAGGTAGAGTGGGCAGCTGCACCTGATGGGGTTGTTGTGCAGGTACAAGCCATTCCTGATGGTTTCAGGCAGAGCTGCCAGCTCTTCCACTGGGACGCTTCTCAGGCTGTTGGAGGAGAGGTCCAGCGTGCGGAGGCTGCAGATGCTCAGCCTTTGCACCAAGCGGAAGGGGAAGGTGGTCAGGTTGTTCCAGCTCAGGTAGACTTTCTGCAGGCCGCTCAGCTTGGCGAAGGCGTTTTCATCCACTCGTGCAATGCGGTTGTTGTAGAGCAGAAGCTCCTCCAAGCTCACCAGCTCATTGAAGTAGTGTGTCTCGACAGCGTGCAGGTGGTTGGAGGACATGTCAAGGTGCCGCAGATAGGAGGCGTTGTGAAAAGCCTGTGGAGAAAGGTCCTTAATCTGGTTGTGGCTGATGTGGAGGGCCTCGAGGTGCGGGAGGGCAGCCAGCCAGTGGTCGTGGAGCTGGGTGAGAGCGTTGTGGCTGAGGTCCAGCGTGGTGGCAGTGGGTGGCAGTGGCAAGGGCACACGCTGCAGCGTCTGCCGGCTGCAGCTCAGCAGGTCGGAGGTGCAGATGCAGGCTCTGGGGCAGCGGTGGGGGTGGGACGGTGGGGAGGCGCGGGGGGCGCGGCCGTGGGCGCACAGCTGGAGCAGCAGCAGCAGCAGCAGCTTCCCCACCCACTGCCAGCCCAGGGACATGGTGCTGGGCAGGAGCGAGATGCGACGCGAGAGAAACTGTTCTGAGGTCCTCCCCCCGTCTGCCCTGTGCTGGCTTGTGGGGGGAGGACTCTACCAAGCATCCGCCCCTTTGCACCCCGCAAAGGAAGATCCCGATTCCAGCCGCGGGGCTTGAAAAGAGCTAAAGGGCAGCATCACCCTGCCCCGCTCTGCTGCGTCTCACCTGTGCTCGGCCGGTGCTGGGCTGCCCGGCATCAACGGGCTGAGACGCTCCGTTCCGGGAAGGTGTTCTGGGCTCGGCGAACGCCCCGCTGCCTCCCGGAGCCGCACATCCCCGGAGCACAAAGTTTCTCACGGCTCAGGGCCGGCTGCCGTGTCACGTTCCCATTCACCAGGCACCGGTGAGCCCCGTCCAGTCCAGCCCCCGGCTCCTCCCGGCCAGCATCTCCCGGGGAGCCGGGCGGGCTGTGGGGACGTCCCGCTCCTGCCGCTATTTACACGCTGGCGATGCAGGGTGTGTGGGCCGGGCGGGATCCCATTGGTCCCGGCGTGGGGAGTGGTGGCCACAGTGGTGGCCGTGGCCCTCCCTTGCCGTCCTGCCAGTGGGCAGGGCGATGCGCAGCTGGCACCGGCACTGCCTGCTCGCTTGCCCCCCCAGGGACACCTCGCCGACCCTCCAGCCTCACCGGGTCTCACCGGCGAGCAGCCGCTTTCTCTCCCGCTGGAGAACGGCAAACTCAACGGGCTGTGATCTGTGAGGTGGCTGTTCTGGCTGCTCCGTGGCTGCCCAGCTGTGGGGAGGCTGCTGGCAGACTAAACTCACCCCATTGTCACCTCTGGGAGCTCTGCGTGTTTGATGCATGCAGGCTGGGAGCAAGGATGACAGGCAGATCCTCCTCCCCCACTGCTCAGCACCCAGTCGTGGTTCTTTCTGCTGCTCTTGTCCCCATCACCCCTGCATGTGCCAGCAGGGATCCCCAGCCATGAGGACTGCAGGGCCTGGTGGGGTCCCCATGGCTTAGGGGGTGCTGTGGGTGGGGAGGAGGAGGTGGCTTCAGGGTGAAGGACATGAAGGAATGTCATTACCCAGCCCCTGGAAAGGCAGAAGGCTGGGCTGGGGAATTGGTTTCCATTAAGGCAGCAAAAAGCTAATTTGGCAGCTGCGGTTGCTATTAACCCCTTGCGCTCCAGCTCAGCCTGTGCTGATGGGCTTCTCGCTCGCCTCCCCACCACCAAGGTGGCTGTGCATGCCCCAGGGCTGGCCACTGAGCCAGCACTGCTCTTTGCCAGGGGCTGTGGACAGGTCATGGCACTGGTGCCTAATGGAGATGCCCCCATTCAGGTGCCCTTCATCTGTCCTGGTGGTCCCTGCTGATGATAAAAGCTGTGGAGAGCCACAACTGCTCCCTCCTGCCTTGTGGGGGCACCTGCTTACCCTGGGGGCACCTTGAGCTGTCCCCACAGGGCAGGGGTGACACAGCTGCCCCCACCTCCCCCAGCATCAGCCCCCACATGGAATTGCTCCACATACCCTGGACAGGCCATGGAGCAAGGGTGGTGCTGGCAGCCTTGCGGCGTCCCAC